GTACCAAACCTGTTTGAGCAGGTGCAAGACCTGTTTGGCACTGTTCAACAAATCTATTCGGTTTAATTTGCACAGATTTAAATCTGTTTGAATTTAAATTCAAACAGATAAGGGTTTTCCTTGAATTAAACTGTTCGGACAGATTTTGAAATATGTATAGAAGGTTCGGACATATTTGAATTTAAACGATTTGATTTTATTTTACCAAAAAATAAATTAAATTAAAATGTTTTAGGCCCAAAAAAATAGTTATTGGGCCGGACAACCCCAACCCAACCTCACACCATACACCAACGCGCAAGCCTACCCCAGCCCGCCTGCCCGGCCGACCGGACGGATGGCGGCGGCACGCGCATGTGTTTATTTTGAGTCCAATGGGTCTAGCCCACTTTGCTCATAACCTCCCTCTCTACAAAACTTGGGTGCCCCTTGGGGCCTACCCCAAGTTCCAACACTAAGCCTTATAAACCCAGTCAAAGTTTCCCACCAAATCAATGTGGAACAAGCCATTTTTCAAACCTTAAGGAATTTCACCAAAAACTCCATTTCTATGGAGCTCACTTTGGCTTCAATTTTCCATTCACCCGATAATGGTTTTGAGCAACCAAATATACCACGCGAATCATAACGCGGCATAGAACGCGTTACCACTTAGACCCGCCAACTTTGGCACACAGGTCCTACCTAAAAAAATAGACCAAAGTTAAGAAAAAATTCTGTTTTTCCAGATTTTTTCAAAACCCATTTCTAAAAGGTCCATATCTCTAGCCTTCCATAGTAGCCACTAATCCATGATCCTGTCTCATCCCGGAAAAGACCACCAAAACCGCCACCTCCTCCATTGCGGCGAGTGTTGCCATCTGTGTTGAGCATGATTGTTCCTGCACTTGGACAAGACCACACAGTTAGACTTTTATATTTGAGAGGTGTTGTAATATCTAAATTAAAAGCTTGAAAAATTTCCTTGGCAAAAGTTAATATACTTTTCACACGCTCATGAATGTTTGTATGTTTATTTTCAAAAACCATTTTATTCCGGCTCTTCCAAATAGTTCATATGGTAATAAGGAACAGTGAAGGAAATTTGTTCATCCCTTTTACATTCTGTATGATCCAATCTTTCCAAGAAAAATTAAGCATGTTAGAGTACCATTCCGGGCTGAATATTTGACACCAAACCTATACAGCGTTGGGACAAAACCATAATAAATGACAATGTCCTCCAAGTTTTCACAACAGGGGCATTTCGGGTCATTATTAAGGCCCCTCAGTTATCTCATTTGATTTGTGAGGATTTTCTCATGGAGAACAAGCCACACAAAGCTCTTAAGCTTCTGGGGAACCTTAAGCTTCCATATCTAGCCCCAATTCCCTTCTTGACTTTGGTAATCAACAATTAATTCATATGCACTTGATGCAGAGAATTCTCCATCAGGGGATTTAACACATCTGGGAGTATCCTCTTCATCTCTATTTTAGGGTGGTTGTATTTTTAGAATTTTCACAACCATATACATAGGTAAAAGCTTATGCATATGATTCAAATCCCATTCACCATGCTCATCAAGAAAGGGAATCCACAGTGATATTCCCAGAATTTGGGAGTGGGTAAGTGGGTATGCTCAAGTCCTGTTCAAAGACTCCATCACCACACCACCAATCTTTCCAAACTCTAACTTTGGACCCTCTTCCAAGGTTTCATCTCACCCCTTTAACAAGAAGCTCCCTTGAATTAAGGATGCCTTTCCAAATATGAGATATATTCTTGCCCTTTTTCTTGTGCAAGAGGGGTTGTTGCCCCAGATATTTGTTTTTTTAGCACAGCCACCCATAAACAATTGTCCTTTTTTAACACTTTCCATCCCAACTTGGACAGAAAAGCTAGATTTTGATCTCTAGCCCTCCGAATCCCAAGACCACCACCTTTTTTCATCTTGCAAACTTGATCCCAATTCACAAGATGAACTTTCTTTTTCTTTAGGGTGTCACCCCAAAGAAATTTTTGATTTATTTTGTCAATCTCATCACAAACTTTCCTTGGAAACTCCATAGTTTGCATAGCATAAGCTGGTATAGCACTGGTCACAGATTGAATCAAAGTGGCCCTCTCTGCCAAGGACAAAATGCCAGATTTCCACCCAGTTAACTTGGTCTTGAGTTTTTCCAAGATATAATTAAAATTATCTTTGCTCACTCTAGTGTGAAAAAGAGGAACCCCGAGGTATTTCCCTAAGTTTTGAGCTAAGGGGATACCACTCATATTACTCAAAGTTCTAGCTCTTCTCCTTGCAATATTAGGAGACACAAACATATGGGATTTGTGTAAATTGATCTTTAAACCATAGATTACACTAAACTCATCCAAAATTTTCAAAATGGTGGTACAATTTTGAACATTAGCTTTAGCAAACAAAATAAAATCATCCGCAAAAAATAAATGAGATAAAGTAGGACCATGCTTAGCCAAGCTAAGACCAGTCCACTCTTTTTCATGCACTTTTTGACTAATCATAACAGAAAGCCTTTCCATACATAGCACAAAAAGGTAAGGGGATAGAGGATCCCCTTGTCTTAAACCCTTAGCTAGTTGGAACTCATTAAGAGGTTCACCATTCCATAAAATAGCAGTACTCACACTAGTGACGCAACTTAGGATCAAATCCACCAGTTTCTCATCAAAATGCAACTCTTTTAAAGTTTGTTTTAGGAAGCTCTAAGATATGTTGTCATAAGCCTTTTCAAGATCTACTTTAAAAATCATGTAACCCACCTTCCCTTTTTTCTTTCTCAAAGTGTGTATCGCTTCCTGGGTAATGATGATGTTATCATGAGTGGATCTACCCGGAATGAAACTACTCTAATTCAGGGCTAATGATATTCTCTAAGAGAGACCTGATGTGGCTGATAAGGATTTTGGATATAATTTTATAGGTTACATTGCACAAACTAATTGGCCGGAATTGTTTCACAATCTCAGGGTTAGAAACTTTAGGAATGAGAGCTATAAAGGTTCTATGTATCTCCAGGGGAATGGAACAAGAAGAAAAGCAATTTTGAATAAATTCAATCACAGTCTTGCCCACAATATCCCAAAAGGTGTGATAAAAATGGCTTTGGTGCCCATTGCCTTAAAGGCTTTGATGTTTTTAACTGTTCTCCAGATCTCAACATCAGAGACTTCCCTACTCATCTCAAATTTGATCATCAGGGCTTATGTGCTTGGTCAAATTATTCCAGTGGTCAAGGCAAATAGTGTGACTATAAGCAAAAAGCTTGTGAAAATGAGCAGACACAAGATTTTTTAAATCAGTAGGATCATCCACCCAAACTCCCTCATCATTTTTCAAAACTACAATTTTTGCCTTCCTTCTCTTCATGATGGTAGACAGATGGAAAAACTTGGTATTTCGCTCACCCTGAGTAATCTAATTTGTACGAGATTTTTGAAACCAAAACAACTCTTCCTGATACAAGACTTTGTTAAAGTCCTCAATGAGCTCATTTTCTAGTTGATGTAAATTATGAGAATAATGCTTGGCTTGAGAAATTTGGATTCCCTTGATCCCACCAAGCAGCCAATGTTTTCGTCTAAAGATATTACCAAAAACATTTTTGTTCCAATCCATAGCTGCAATTGTCATACAATCCAAATTTCTCAACAAATTATGTTGATTATGAATAGGCCAATTATTTTCAACCAGAGCACGAAATCCCTTATGAGTTATCCAAGCAGCTTGAAATTTAAAAGAATTGTGCGGAGGCTTATAATGGCTCATACCTTGAGTGTATACTATGAGAGGAGAATGATCTGAGTATGTGCGAGGCAAATTTCGAACATACCCCTCTGGAAATAGAGTTCTCCATTCTGTGTTACAGAGGGCCCGATCCAATCTCACCATAGCATTGGCCCACCCTTTCCTGTTGTTAGTCCAAGTGAGCCTAGGACCAACACATCCTAGATCCATAAGATTGTAGTTGTTGACTCTATTAGTGAATTTCTGACTCCTTCTTTGGCTTTGGCTTGAGCTTTGGCTTTGATTAACTGAGAAGCTCCTTTTTTCTGTTGAGCTTGAGTAGTCATTAAAATCTCCTGCTACCAGCCATGGTTCTTGAATATTTTGTGCAATTATTTCCAAACCATTCCAAAGTTCATCTCTCGTCCTGGTATTTGGACTCAAATAAATGGCAGAAAGAACCCAGTCTAGATATTCTTGGCGAGAAATTGTAGCAGTGATCATCTGGGAGCAAGCTTCATTTACACGAACATTAACTTGGTTAGGATTCCATAATAACTAAATGCCTCCACTTCTACCAATTGGATCTACATGCGTTGAGGCGGTATACCTCAAATTATTGAAAAACATACCCATCTTGTTTAATTCCACTTTCGTCTCCATGAGTATAAGCATGTCAAGTTTATGCTTTTGCACCAAATCAGGCAGATTCCATCAGAATCGATCATTACCAGCACCTCTACAGTTCCATATCAGCAGATCCATCGATGACATTGGAATGGTGGGCCAGTCCTCTGCCTCAGATAGCACTAGAATGTTTTTCATATTTTTCTGGTCTTCTTCCATTGCTTTCGTTGGTTTCATAAGCACCATGTGTCTCACGTTGTGCGAGTCTATCTCCCACCATGGTTAGATCAGAAGCTTCACTTCTTCTAGCCACCAATCTATTCTGACATGGTGATGTACTTCTTTTCCGAGTTCTAAAAATAGCAGAGTTTTGCACTGGTCCACTCAGTGCTTTGTCATTAGGGTGTTCTCGGCAATTTCTTCCATCGATCTTAGCCTCCAGAGACTTGAGTGGATAGAGTGGTTCCCTCTTCTAGCTTTCAATCGATTTGCTGAGAGTTTTTCAACTGGCATTCCAGGTGAGCTATGGGGAATAATGGGTGGCTTGGAACCAGAGTTAGTGTTAGGGTTCCCTCGATTGTTAGTAGCACCCAAACTAGCGCTTGGGCCTAAGTTGAGAATAATGGACTGGTTGGCCTGCTAGATTGCCCCTTTTTCACTTGGCCCATGTACAATACGCATCCCTACATCGTGCCTCCTATCCCCCACAGCATGGACTAAGTCCACATCCATTACTGGAGAGGTCTGTAGTAGTGTATCCGGAGGTCCCCTAGTTTGGGCACTAGATGTATCTCCTGTAGCCATATTAGAGCCCATGTCTAGATCCATATAATTTCCCTGGGCTTTACTACTTCTCTGGCCTTCGCTATTTTCTCCATGCTCTTTATCCAGCTGTAAAACTTCAAATCTGTTGCTCTTTTGGTAGTGGGCCTTTTGTTTTTGTTTCCCTTGTTGAAATTTCCTTCTACTGGGTGCTATGGTCCACGGCCCATATCCATGTTTCTCTTCCACATTATATCCTTCCTCCTTCCTTTGCCCAGTGGGCTTTGATGTTCCTGGCCCATTATCTGATTCTGGTTGGGTAACGGTCTCGTTTTGTATTATCTTCTCCGGCTGTATCACCGAAAATTCAGTGCACTTTTCTTTCCGGTGGCCAACACGACCGCAAGAAAAACACAACCTGTGTAAGTGTTCGTATTCCACCACGTAATGGTATCGTCCAATAGTAAGATGTGAAATAAGTGGTTTACGCAAGTCCATCTCAACGCAAACCCTTGCATATTTCCCTCGTGCTGCCATGGCAGTGTTAATATCTACCTTTAATGGAGTACTTAGCACCTTCGAGATGTGGTAGAGAACCTTATCATCATAATACTCAATGGGGAGATTGGGAAATCTGACCCATATTGCAGTTGTATCCTCCTCTGCCTCATCAAATTTAAAATCAAGTTACCATTTGCGAACTGCCACGTATCGATCCATCACTACCCATGGTCCTCCAGTGAAAACCTTCGTGTAGTCTTCCATTATTTCAAATTTCATATGAATAAACCATTTCCAATATCCAAAGTTTCAAAACTTGCTTGTAGATTCCACACCTTCCTCATTCTATTTACAAACAAATTGTAGCCAATATTCTTTCCTAAAAGTCTGACAATGAGACATTGCTTCCATGGTTCTCTCACTTTTTTAAGGAGGCTAGCAGGTAGTTTAACCACCTGGTTCGAGGCTATCTCTTTCTCCTCCGAAGATTCCTTTGTTTCCTTCTCATTTTGCATTTCTTCATAGAGGGATAGTCCGCTTCACAATCAAAACTGCGTTCTCTCTCAGTTTCATTGAATCTGGATCTCAGAAGTGCTTGTTTGAAGGACCTATGGATGCCCATGTCCTTTTCTGATTCCCTATCCTTGATACCGTTTTAGTGTTCCGCTTCCTCCACCATTTGCTCGCCTTTCTTTTCCAGAAGTTCCTCATCAGACGCTTTCGTAGCTTTTGCCTTTTTCTTGCTCCGATCAAGGTGATCTTGCTCCTCTGTTGGTGTTTCATAGGTGCCAATATATCACCTTCAAAGGTCATCTTAGAGAGAGAAAAATTTCGATTATGATCCTTGCGTTTTTCAAATTTCACATTTTCTCCTCAAAAAATACTAAAAGTCATTTGTCAAAAATAATAGAAACAAGGCTACTTAGTCCAAAAGTCTAAATTTAATTTTGTTTTTTTAAAGTTTTTGGCATTGAAACATTTTGTCCAAAAAGATAAGTTCAAGAAAAATAATCAAAATGTCATTTTTTATATATTGGGTCCCAAACCCTCTCACTCAGTCACTCTGAACTTTGATCTCTCTCTCCCCGATCAGTCCCAAACCCTTACTGAGATCTTTGCCTTCCTCCTCAGCATCACTCGTCGTCGTCTCCCTCCTCCACTGATCTCACTCTCTCTGTCTCCCCTTCACCGCTGATCTCGCTTCCTCCCTCCCTCTCTCTCTCTCTCTCTTTAATCTCACACGATCTGTCTTTCCCCCTTAACACCACCATCCTAGCCGTGTTGATCTCATATTCTATCACCTCCTTCAAACTATAACCAATACATACTGTCTCTTTTTCTTCCCATTCTTTCTCTCCCCTCTCTCTTCTATCCTCTCCATCTTAGTCGCCGACACCACTACTTCATCTTCCCTCTCTATGTTCGTCAAATCCACCGGTGTCCGTCATCAAAGATGTTAGATCTACACCAAGTTCAAGTTCTACTAGATCTGGACAGAGATAAATCTTTCTCTGAGGTGTTCGTCCAAATCAATAAATATCCAGATCTTTCTTTGGTTCGATCTTCTAAAGTTCTCATATTATTATCAATAATGCTAGGGGTCAGGAATAATTTATCAGGAAAGGTTTCATGAATGACTTGGCAGTGACCAACTCATCTTGGTGGAGCCCCCAATATATTATTAAAAAAAATAAAAAAGAGAAATTGGAAAGACAATAAAGAGAGAAAGTTCTGATTCTATATTGGAGCCCCCAACAACACGTAGTCACTTAAGCAGCAATGACAATCCCTCAAAAAAAAAAAAAAAACTTCTCTTTGTCTCACATTTCTGGTGGTCAGCGATTTCTGCTATGAGTTCTTGCAAGAACACCATCTCCAATCACAAAGGTATGAAAATATAGCCGCTCCGTTATAGCAGTATGAAGATTTAATAGCAGTTGCTCTGTTAAGTGGCTCTGTTTTTTCACTAATGGTTGTTATTGTGTTGTGCTTTTTTCACTAGTGCATCGACTTTTTATTTTTATTTTTAATTTGTACTATTTAATGAAATGGGTTGTTTCAGCTACAAGTTTTTCATTTGAAGAATCATACGTTGTTTGTTTAAATTTGTCAATTTGATTCACATTTTCATCATGAGAAAGGCCCAAGTGATGAAATTTATTTAGAATTTATACAAGTTATGAATTCACAGTGCGCAAAATTGTTATGAGAATTTGTTGCTAAAATTTCTTCTTGAATTTTTTATTGCTGAATTTGCTACTTGAATTTTTACAAATTTTCAGTAGAAAGTTAATAAAATAATTTAATTTTTTACTTAATTAGGGTTTTTGTGGCCTTTGTTATGAATAAAAAAAATTTAATTTGTTATTTACATTGTAAAGGTATGGATAAAGAAATATCGAGTGGATCAAATGAGAACTATGACGAAATCGATATTGAGACTGAAATAGAAGACACAAAAAATGTAGAAGTTGAAATTGAGGATCCTCAAGTGGGAATGACATTTAAGTCAATTGATGAAATTTATAAATATTATTCAAGATATGGGAAGAGAAATGGTTTTCCAGTGTCAAAGAAATATTGTAAAATGGGAGATGATGGGGAGAAAAAATATGTAAATATTGCTTGTACTCATGCTGGAAAGGCAAAAATCAAAACAAGCAATATAGTTAAATTACGCCCACAAACTAAAACGGAATGCAAAGTTGGACTTAATGCAAATTTACAGGGCGATGGAATATGGATACTGCGCTCCTTAAGACTTGAGCATAACCGTGAAATGAGTCCAAGCAAATCTCATTTTTTCAAGCAAAATAGGATTCTTGAACCACATGTGAAAAGGAGACTTGAATTAAATGATAGTGCAGGGATTATAATGAACAAAAATTTCACTTCACTTGTGCTTGAAGCTAGAGGGCATGAGAAGTTGTCATATTTAGAGAAAGATTGTAGGAATCATATGGACAAAGTTCGTCGTTTGAAACTCAAGAAAGGAGATTCCACTACAATGTATAATTATTTTGTGAAAATGCAAGTTGATAATTCAGAATTTTTTTATGTCCTGGATTTGGAAGAATAGGGTAGATTACTAAGCTGATGCAGGGAGAGGGCTGCATTTAAAGAGTTTGGCGATGTGATCACATTTGGCATGACATACTTGGTAAATAAATATGATATGCCCTTTGCCCCTTTTATTGGGGTCAACCATCCTGGACAGTCGACATTGTTAGGTTGTGGACTCATTTCACGTGAAAATACAGAAACATTTACATGGTTATTTAAGTCTTGGCTTGCATGCATGTCTGGATTATCCTCCAAATGCTATTATTACATATCAAGATAAAGCCATGAAAAATGCTATACAAATTGTTTTCCCTAATGTGTGTCACCGATGGTGTTTGTGGCATATCTTGAAAAAAATTACATGAAAAATTGAGAGGATACAAAGAATATAAGGCAATAAAATTTGGTATATAGAATGCAGTTTATAATTCCTTAACAAAAAAGGAGTTTGAAGAAAATTGGAACACATTGATAGAGAATTATCAACTTGAAAGCAATGAATGGTTATTTGGATTGTTTGAGGATAGGCATCAATGGGTACCTGCATTTGTCAAAGATATTTTTTGGGCGGGAATGTCAACCACACAATGAAGTGAAAGCATGCACGCATTCTTTGATGGGTACATCAACTTAAAAACCACTTTGAAACAATTTGTGGAGCAATATGACAATGCTTTGGAGAAGAAGGTGGAAAATGAAAATGGTGAAGAATTTAATTCTCTCAACTCATACATCCCATGCATAACTCAGTATCCATTTGAGAAGCAATTTCAAAAAGCTTACACTATTGCAAATTTTAAAGAGTTCCAATAGGAGGTTCTAGGACAGCTTCATTGCAATTTGTCTTTGTATACACAATGTCTTGATTTTTCAATATATGAAGTGAGTGAAGATGTTCCATTTGGAGAGAACATTCGATTAGCAACTTTCATTGTCTATTTTGATAAGGAAAACTTTGACACAAATTGTAGTTGTTAGTTGTTCGAGTTTAGGGAAATAGTGTATAGGCATCAAATTGTGGTGGTAATGAAAGAATAGCCTCATGGTAAGCATGCTATCATGGCAGTCACTCACACACGTGCAAGGATGCTAAAGCATAAAACTTACCGAGTACTCCAAGCCAAAACAGAAACTAATTAGAAATCCATGCATGATCCTAATTACACAAAAATGCCTAATGCAGCACATGCAAAAGTGCAACTATAGTAGGCTCGGCTATTCTAGACATGTCATATGAAATGCTACAACTAACATGTATTCAATCTTGGAATTGAAAATACAATGCAGTTAATATGATGCGCCAAGCCCGGTGCATGCAAAACAGATGAATGAATGCAAACATGCTATCATACTGCTAATTGAAACATGCCCTAATCTAACCATCATAAGCGGATAAATAAAAGGGAAGAAAGACGTGTGGTTGGAAGACATGCATCACACTCACGCACACTTATTACAACATTGCCCTCGCTCGGAGGGTCCAAATAAATATACAGTCCCAAATAAATAATTACAGTCCCGAATAAATACAAAAATCCTAATTAATTTACAAATTAATCTAGGGAAGCTATAAACTGGCATGCAAGCTAGGGACTGCCTTGACTCTGATGAATGATGTATGTCTGGGCTGCCTTGCGCGAAAATCCACTGGGATGCCCCAATTAGCCTCTGTTTTGCAATGGTTCTTGGAAAGCGCGCCAAGCCTCGGAAGACTGCTGATTCTTGATTTGCTGCAACGGAGAGCAGGAAAGGGGCATAGCAATGTATTTTCACAGATGTATGCATGCCTCGATCCTCGTGCCACCAATCACGCATCTCGATGCATGATGGCCGAGGATTTTCACAAATGTATGCATGCCTCGATCCTCGTGCCACCAATCACGCATCTTGATGCATGGTGGCTGAGGGGTCGAATTGTGCAACTCGATATAGAATGAATGCACATGAAAACACAATGAGACCTAAACTTCATCATGGGTAATCCGGAGTGTCGGTGACAGGGAATTGAGACACGTTCCGTCACTCGGAGTACGGAACGTACCTCGTTTCCCGTGCTTGGGCTAACTCCTATCCCAAACACGATGCAATATGCATGATATGCATGAAATGCAACTAAGATGCAACCTAGCATACACAATGCTATGAAATGGCATACACGATGCACGAGGTAATATGGCATACACAATGCGCTAACAGATAATCTAGCGTACGCAATGCTATGAAATGAAATGGCATACACAATGCATAATGGGCTTACACCAACGTGAGTGGACCTCAGCCGCACTCACATAGGAGGCCATCAGATGAAAATGAGATAATTCGAGATACGTGCACGCATGCACGCAAACCGAGGACCGAACCTAAGGCACCAAATGCCACTCTAACAAGACATGGCAAGGCATGAAATATGATATGCTCGCATGCAAATTTCAGAACTGAAATGCGACACAAAACAGCCCCGAATCATGACAATATAGCACCCGATGCATGAAATGGTCCCGAAATGCAAGATTAAGCGCATGAAATGACTTGTAGCTACATCAAACATGCATTATTTGATCATGACATATGAATACAGATTCAAGGAAGCCCCAAAAAAAGCATGTTTACAGTTCTAAGCAAGGTCAAACAGCGAATGCAAATGGGGCTAAACTAGCATGCGAAAATGGCCCCGAAAGCAAGCTAATGAAGCAAGTCACAGCTGCAAGCCTCAAACAGATGAGGGCCCTTCAACAATGTTGAAGAGGGGCCCAAAATATGATATTTTACAGTTCTGAAAAGAGCCCAAAAACAAGCACAGGTATGGCTAAGCTCTCATGCAAGAAATGGGCCAAAAGATGGACAAAGAAGCAAGTGAAGGTTGCTGGCCTCAAACACAAGAGTGTCCTTCAACACAGTTGAAGAGGGACCTAAAAAATGGCATTTTACAGTTGGTGGCCAGACCCAAAACAGCATACATGCAAACCAAAAATACTACACAAAATAAGGCCAAAAAGAGGGATATAACACAAAGTATAAAAAAGATGCCTCAAACAGTGAAAGACCCTTAATGAAACATGAAGAGGGGGTCAAAATAAGGTCCTTTGTAGTTCGGACCAGAGCCCAAAAACAGAAGCATGAGAGGCTAACAAATCATGCAAAAATGGAGCCAAAAGAGAGATACAAAGGCAAGTGGTAAATGAAAGCCTCAAAAAGAAATGAGCCCTTCAACAATGTTAAAGAAGGGATCAAAATAAACCACTTCTCAGTTCATGACAGAGCTCAAAACAGTTTATACATAGGCCAAAAATACTACACAAGATAATGGCATACAAGAGGGATAGTGAAGCAAGTGCAACAAGGAGGCCTCAAACAGTGAGAGGCCCTTAAACAAAAGCGAAAAGGAGCTCAAAATAAGCCTAACTCCAGTTAGGGTCAGAGCCCAAAACAGCAAGCACAAAGAGCTAGAATAGCATGCAAAATATGGACCAAAAGGAGGGAAATAGAACTTACCCTTGAAGACCAATCTTTTGGCAACTCTTGGCTTGAGTTTGGTGGCTCCTAGGCCTTGAAGAACAACCTCCAGCTGCTGGAATGGAGGATGGAAGGGTGGGGCTTGGTGGTGGTGTGGAAAGGGATATAGGACTTGAAAGGTTTTGAGCTTGGAATAGAGAGGGAGAGAGATATAATGCAAAGGGCTTGAGGCAAAATTTTCCAACCCCAATAACAGAGCTGGAGCTTCTGTTATATAGGCAAAAATGGGGGGGAAAAGGGGGGAAAAATGAAGGGAAAACCAACCAAGTTTCCCTCTAAAATGTAGCCCCCCGGATACAGAATCTGGGGGGAAAAAGAGGCTGTATCTACACTGTACCTGTTGCAAGGATTCTGGCCGGCCAGTTATCTAGGTTGTAGGTGGCCGGCCGGCTACCTCCCATGGCCAGCCGGCCAAGGGTCAAAATGGTCAAGTGTGATTAGTGGCCGGCCACCACAGAAAGAGGGCCTCCCATGTGTGCACAACACAGCCCTGTGGTCAACAACTGAAAATAGTGAACCAAGAGAGAGAGAACAATCCACTTTTCAAAGGGGTTCAAAAGGTTCAGCAACAATTACTGGCCGGCCACCAAATATTGGTGGCCTCCCAGATGTGTACATCACAGATATAGGGTTTAGGGTGCAAGAAAATGGCCCAAGGGTTTAGGGTTCAAATCGGGCGACGGAGGGCGATGATGGGATAAAGTTGGCTGACAGAACAATTACTGGCCTCCCACCCATCTACGGCCTTCCTAGCAATGAAACAAAGGTCCCTGCCAAAAATGAACCAAAACCGATGCAAAATGAAGGTTCAGGGGCCGAAACGCGCAGCCCGAGGCCCCGAAAATTGACCGTTAGGCACCGGGAGTGGTGTTCGACCACGAAGTTGGTCTCTCGGACCACAATATCCCTCAAAAGGGAGCAAATAAGATGTATGCCAGAAACCGGAGCAAACGGAGATGATGAAGCGGTCTCGAACCGAGGCACACGACCAACGGCTCCGAAAAGCCGGAAACCGGGCTCCAAACGGGCAAAATGGCCTACGACCACGAAATGTAGCCTATGGCCACTGAGAGATGATCTACGAGACCTCTCCCTCCCTTCTGTAAGAGCAAACAGAGAAAACAGGGCTTGGTTCACAAACCGAGGCAAAGCACAAAAGAGCCCGGAAGTCCGGAGGCAAGGCTCGCAGCCAAGACTCTAAAACTTCTGAGCAAGCACAATATGCAATATCACCGACTGCTCAACTGGTGACGTCTGAGTCTCAAGGTCGGTCAAAAATGGGATGTCTACAGCACGCATTCTTTGATGGCTACATCAACTTAAAAACCACTTTGAAACAATTTGTGGAGCAATGTGACAATGCTTTAGAGAAGAAGGTGGAAAATGAAAATGGTGAAGAATTTAATTCTCTCAACTCATACATCCCATGCATAACTCAGTATCCATTTGAGAAGCAATTTCAAAAAGCTTACACTATTGCAAAATTTAAAGAGTTCCAACAGGAGGTTGTAAGACAGCTTCATTGCAATTTATCTTTGTATACACAAGGTCTTGATTTTTCAATATATGAAGTGAGTGAAGATGTTCCATTTGGAGAGAACCTTCGATTAGCAAATTTCATTGTCTATTTTGATAAGGAAAACTTTGACACAAATTGTAGTTGTTAGTTGTTCGAGTTTAGGGAAATAGTGTATAGGCATCAAATTGTGGTGGTAATGAAAGAAAGGGTTCATGAGATATCAGACAAGTACATTTTAAGAAGATGGAACAAAAATGTGAAAAGGTGCCATAGTAAAGTGATTATCAATTATGACAACTCTTCAATGTTGCCTGAAACATGTCGGTATAATAAAATGTTCAATGTCTTCAAAGATGTGGTTGATTTGGCAACTGATTGTGAAAATAGGTGTGATATGGTGGTCGAACAGTTACTTGAACTAAAAGGGCAATTGAAAGAAGAAGTTGAAATTGATTGTGGAAATAATAAGTCTAGTTTTGTGAGTAATCATCATAATTCAACCACTCATGGAGATGGTGTTTCGAAGTCAAAGGAGAGTAGAACCATACTTGATCCAGTTGTTTTACGTCAAAAAAGGAGGCCACCATGTAAAAGGAAATAGTCTATGGTTGAAAAAGTTGTTAATAAGAATAAGAAAGGAGCAAAGACCAAGACAAAGACCATCAACATCCAAGGAAGTGTAGAGGTGTGAAAATTATTTGAATAAGTTAATTTATTATTTTAAAAAAAAGCTATTATTTTGTTAACTTTCAAATTTTATATTTTGCAGCAATCCAAGTTTGGTGCATCTTCAAATATAGGATTTGTTGATCTTGGTACACAAGAGAGTATTCAAGTGAATGAAAGAAGTTTATTTTATTCATTAACTTTATAGTTATATGATTTATTTATAGTTGGATTGTCTAATTGCTTCTTATATTGCAGAAATCTGAAATATTGGGTCCAAGTTTGGAGCAACAAAACATATTTTAAGAAAACTTTCCATACCAAGTACGTAATATTCTAGTATGTATTTATTTACATGGTTTTATGAAAATTTAATATATTTTATTTTTTTGATAGGACCATCATCATCCATCTCCATCTTTGATATTCGAACATTCAAGTTTCACAAAAATGTTGAATGACATAGTACAATCACAGGCTAACAATCCAAAAGAGGACACGAATGGTAGATGTTGAAAATGTCTACATGACAGGGTTACTTAAACATCTGTTGACTTTTTTTTATAAAAAAAAAGTTCATTGAGAATGTTTATATTGCATTTTGAGAGACTTGTTTGTTAAAGCACAATGATTTTGGTGTTGGATTATATAGTTGAACTATTACATTGAAGCATTATCAATTATTAGAGTTTATTATGGAACGTTGAAGTTTTTTTTCATTATGAAATGTGATTTTTTTTTTCACAATATGAGTAAATTACCATCAAGAATGTTTTTTTTTTCTTTATTATGAATAAATCACGAATGGTAGAAGTTGAAAATGTCTACATGACAGGGTTACTTAAACATTTGTTGACTTTTTTTTATAAAAAAAAAGTTCATTGAGAATGTTTATATTGCATTTTGAGAGACTTGTTTGTTAAAGCACAATGATTTTGGTGTTGGATTATATAGTTGAACTATTACATTGAAGCATTATCAATTATTAGAGTTTATTATGAAACGTTGAAGTTTTTATTATGAAATGTGATTTTTTTTTTTCACATTATGAGTAAATTACCATCAAGAATGTTTTTTTTTTTCTTTATTATGAATAAATTTCATTTGTTAACCAAGCCTATTAACAGGTTATGTTTGTCATTAAAAATAAATAAAAAGTCAATAAGGAGTTGCTAGTAACAATATCAATAAGAGCATGACAAAAATAAAGAATTTCATATTCTTCAATGACCATTACAATTCAAAATACAAGACATTCCATTACAATACAAACACAAATATGAAATGGCATTAGTCATATTCTCCAATACTCATTTTATTGCCATTGCAACACAAAATACAAGAGTGTGCTAAATCAACATTTTTAGAATATTAATATTACATTTAATTCCTTCAATATTCAAACTCAATGGATTGTTCTCTACTTCATGAGTGTTGGTAGCCATAAACCTCTAACTGTCTTGCTCTTCTTTGAGTTTCATGTTTAATATGTTTGGTTGTTATGGGATTACACCATGCCTAATAAGGTCTTTCTTTGTTTGGCGTCTCGGACTCTATCATCCAAATTACTGCAATTACACCGCAATTACATTTTTTGCTTTTAAATCTAATCTCAATGGTTTCATCCCCTATCTCCACCAGAACCAATATATGTTAATGTTGAACATCTGGGAAAAAAAATTCAAGGAGAAAAATCATAATCAAATTAAACCATTGTTACCTCATAACAATTATGAACATTATGAGGTCATGCTTAATGAGAATCATTCGCCTAGTATTTTTCAACTTTCATAAATTTATGAGAATCAATCCTTAGCAGTTCTCAGCTTTTATAAATTCATAAATTCATAAATTTCATAAATTCAAACAAACATTGACTATAACTGATTATAAATAAAAAAAAATTCTTCTTTAGTTTGGCCTTTCTTTAATAATGCACAAAATAAAAAGTCGATGCATGACTACACCAACAACAACCATTAGCAAAAAAACCACAACACAACAACAAAAGCACAACACAGCAACAACCATTAGTGAAAAAATAGAGCCACTTAACAGAGCAACGGCTATTAAATCTTCATACTGCTATAACGGAGCTGTTATATTTTCATACCTTTGTGATTGGAGATAGTGTTCTTGCAAGAACTCGTAGCAGAAATCGCCGATCGCCAAAAACATGAGACAAAGAGAAGTTTTTGCTTTTTTAGGATAATACTTGATCAATGTTGTTGCTGTTTAAGTGGCTGCATGTTGTTGGGGCTCCAATATAGAATCAGAACTTTCTTTCTCTATAGTCTTTCCAACTTCTCTTTTTATTTTATTTTTTAATAATATATTGGAGGCTCCACCAAGATGAGTTGGTCACTGCCAACTTATTCATGAAACCTTTCTTGATAAGTTAGTCCTGACCCCTAGCATTATTGTATTATTATTATTTTTTTTCAAAAAATAGGCCATGTGTGTCTTTGTGTTGTTGCTGTTGTTGTTATTGTTGTTTTTTTTTTTTTTTTTTTTTTTTTTTTTTTTTTTGTAATAGTTGTTGTAGTTCTTGTTGTTGATGACGATGATGATGAAGATCTCTATTTATTTATTTATTTATTTTTGTTGCTGATAGTAATGAAACAAAATGCAACAGATAAGAACAGAGAGAAAGAGAGAGAAAATAAAGATTTGAACAGATAGAATTTGTTGTTGTTGTTGTTGTTGTTGTTGATGATGATGATGATAATGATGAACAGACAAATTGAACAGATTAATTTTTTTAACAAATAATTTAATAAATGGATTTTTTGAAAAGGATAATTTCAACAGATAGATTTAATGGCTTATAGGTTTTGGATCTGCTTGTTTTTGTTTGTTTTCTCTCAAATCATTTCTTCATTTACCCCTGAAAATGACAACACACAATCGGTTCTTGTACATATAAAAATTATTAGATATAAAAATTTATATTTTAATGGCTTATAGGTTTTGGATCTGCTTGTTTTTGTTTGTTTTCTCTCAAATCATTTCTTCATTTACCCCTGAAAATGACAGCACACAATTGATTCTTGTACATATAAAAATTATTAGATATAAAAATTTATATAGATAAAATTTGGGTAGAAAATTTGTACAGATAAAAATATTGAACAGAAAAAAAATGGACAGATAAAATTTGGATAGATAGAAAATTTACGTAGAAAAATTTGAACAGATAGAAAATAATTTTATCAGATAGTCAAAAAAAGTCAACAAATAAATTAATGGGTAAAATTGAAAACAAAATGTCTTTCAAAACAAGTAAAAGGACCTCTCACCTAACTATTTTACAAATTGGGCCTCTCATAAAAATTAAAAAATAAATAAATAAATACCCTGGACCTAATGCCTTAGGCACTCCCTAAATTGGATTTATCACCAATTTTCTCTAGAAACAATCAAATCTATATAATAAGGGAGAAAGATTTTTGAATTTATCCTAGAGACAATTGTCCTACTGGGACATTTCAATGGTCATGATTCACTTGTGTATTTAGATAGACAGATGAGATGAGCCCCTTTAAATATATATCAATTTACTTCCCGCCCAAACACTAAACTTCTTACTCACCCACGTCTCATCTCCATTCTATCTCTATTCTATCTTTAAGATCACTCTGTTATTCTATCTTTATCTCCTCCATTCTTTGTTCTCACCCACCTCATTCCCTCTTTATCTCTCTCTCCCTCCCTATTCTTCTTCTTCCATACCCTCGCTCTCGAAACTGTTACTCTCCAGCCATGTTCTTCTTTTTCCATACCCTCACCCCCGAAACTGCTGCTCTCCAGGTAAGATGCTCTCCAGGCAAGATCACTTTGTCATAAAAAAGACCCGTTGAGTTCCCTCTCTCTCTCTCTATCTCTCTCTACTGTGCTTTACAAGTTGTGATCATGGCTCACTCTGTTGAATTCGATCTAGGGCTTTCACTTTACTTTCTCGAGTTCACTCTGTTGAATTCGATCTAGGGTTTTTCTTTACTTTCTCGCGATTTCTTGCTATCACTCTGTTCTTGCTTTCAATTGATCTCACAAACGATTTCTTTTCAGATTTTCCTTCTATTGGGACAAACAGATCTCACTTTACTTTCTCGCTGTTCTTGCGATCATAGTTTTGCGTTTACTCTTTGATTTTATTCGAACTGTGATGATTAGTTGGGTAATGATTTCAGTTTTCGCTTGAAATTTTAGATTTTGTCTTGAAAGGCTTGCGGAGAAAGCAGAAAATAGAGTTTTTGCGAAGCATTAGGGTTAATTTTCAGGTGAGATTCTAATTGTGAACATATGAACTTCTAATGCTTCATTTTCTCATAGTAAGATAAAAAAATCATCTTCTTCTTCTATTTTTTTTTTCTTCTTTTCCTCAATTTTCTCAGCAACCAAAGTTTAGTTGGTGTCAAGGTTTATTTATGGTTCAATATTTTATTGTTAAAGGTTGTTTCAATTTTTGTGCTTTAGACCCCCATTCTAAGCAGTTTGCTTTCTAATTAAATGCGGTGACTATGGACTTCATTTTATCATGTTTGATTTCTACCTTCTCCTCCATCATATAACAGAGTAAAATTGATTTGTTAATTAGGTATTATCTGGATATCACCACCACCACAACCACCGTCATCGTCTTTGGTTCGAACCCCCTCCGGTACCTCTCTCTGTCTCTCTCAAACCCCGTGTCTCTGAGGTTTAAATTGATGTTCTTTGTGGCTGTGTCTGTTCAAACCAATGAGAAAGAATGTTTTTGTTATAGTTCTCTCTCAAACCCTATGTCTCTAAGGTTTAAATTGATGTTGTTTGTGGTTGTGTCTGTTCAAACCAGTGACAAAGAATCTATGGGTTCATTATGTTTCGTGATGATCTTGATGATGCATTGTGTGGTGTTGTTAGAAGATGTATAAGAGTGGAGTATTTATTGCTGCT